TCTATGCCCTGGTGGTGTGAAAACCACTGCAGTTACAGTTTTCAATAACCCCAGAAGAAGAAAAGTTCTTAGAATTTCATCGAAATTGCAAGCTGTAGCTGTTGAAACTGCTGAAACAGAGGTAAAAGAAGATATAGAGTCGTTGTTTTCGAGTAATTCTAGTAATGAATTTGATTATTCCAGAAGGGGTAATAAGCAATCAGGTAATGGGGCTTCGAGTATTTCATCTGGGGTTAGGCTAGAGAATGTTAGCAAGAGTTATAAAGGTGTTACGGTGCTGAAAGATGTGAGTTGGGAGGTGAAAAAGGGTGAAAAGGTTGGTTTAGTAGGTGTAAATGGTGCAGGGAAAACGACCCAATTGAGGATTATATCTGGTTTGGAAGAACCAGATTCTGGAAATGTGATTAAGGCAAAACCAAATATGAAGATTGCATTTTTAAGCCAAGAATTTGAGGTTGAGTCGACAAGAACTGTGAAGGAAGAGTTTATGAGTGCATTTAAGGAGGAAATGGAAGTTGCAGAGAGACTTGAGAAGGTTCAGAAGGCAATTGAGAAATCTGTTGATGATTTGGAGTTGATGGGGAGGTTGTTGGATGAGTTTGATTTGCTGCAGAGGAGGGCACAAGCTGTGGATTTGGATGTGGTAGATGTTAAGATTAACAAGATGATGCCCGAGTTAGGATTTGCTCCAGAGGATGCAGATAGGCTTGTGGCATCATTTAGTGGTGGCTGGCAAATGAGGATGTCTCTGGGTAAGATCTTGCTGCAGGTAAGAGATATTAAATTTTTTCCTGATTTTTTCGTTTAATGCATGGTTAATGTTGTTCGGTAATTCACGCGGAAATGGTACCTCGAATTATGTTTTGTTCATGCGTCTCTTGGAATTGTAGTGCTTTAACATACCTACTTTGATAGTATATTGTGATTAATGAGTCAAAGATCATGTTTTAGTGTCTATAAGCAAAGAATAGGGTGTGCGAAATGATCAGTTGTAGATCTTGAGTAATTTGCTTTCTAAGAAGGGGGATATTTTGATTTTTGGTAGCTACTGCAGAACCTAATTTATTTGATGAATCAAGGACATGTATATCTCAACTTTCGACTTGATTGCATGTTGCATATTGCTCTTCAAAGCATATTAGTCCACTTATCCCATGATACATCTTTGGTTGATTGGTCTTAGACTTGGCTTATATTTTGTGTAGTTATTATTTTTGCTTGGGGAATAACATGTTTGATTTTTGCAGGACCCAGATTTGTTACTACTGGATGAACCGACCAATCATCTTGACCTTGATACGATTGAGTGGCTTGAGAGTTATCTTAATAAGCAAGAAGTTCCGATGGTCATTATATCTCATGACCGAGCTTTCCTTGACCAGTTGTGTACAAAAATTGTGGAGACTGATATGGGTGTATCTAGGACATATGATGGAAATTACTCGGATTATATTATTTCAAGGGCTGAATGGATTGAAACACAGAATGCTGCATGGGAAAAGCAACAGAAGGAAATTGAGCAAACTAGAGATTTGATAAGTAGGTTAAGTGCTGGAGCAAACTCAGGTCGTGCATCTACAGCTGAAAAGGTAAATAAAGATGTCTCCATTATTGATCCGTAACTGCAGTATGTTGATTTTTGCACATGAGTGCATCGTTTTGTGTGTGTTTTTGTGGAAAAAACCATTGCTCTTGCACTGGGTGACAGATGTATTAACTTGAGCAAACCAGCTACCGGATAGCTGATGAATACAGAGTGTAATTTTTATCATCTAACTGTCTAAGCCTATAGGTGATTAGAGGACATATCTCTTTCTTGGTGCCAAGGTATATGTTAGCAGGCGGCAGCATGTCAAATCCCATCACTCTGCCTCTTTTATTGTGTTAGTTGTTCTGAAGTGATTAGGATCCTCACATGGGACTATCTGCAAATTAAGCTACTGAGATTTAAGAAAAAGAGGGGCGTACCTGATCAATTTGGCCAACTTTTGTCATATCCATATTTGTTAACTATGTTGTACCTTGTCTTTCAGACTTTGGGATACTAATTTCATTCTTCTTTCCTTTTGGTGATAACAGAAGCTGGAGAAACTTCAGGACCAGGAACAAATTGATAAGCCATTCATAAGGAAACAAATGAAGATTAGGTTCCCCGAACGTGAAAGAAGTGGGAGAACAGTTGTGAATGTTAAAAATCTGGAATTTGCTTTCGAGGATAAGGTCAAACACAAAACATTGATGCTGAGATTTCAATTTGCTTCTTGTTTTGTGGATATGTTAATGATAACTAGTACCATTGCTTCTAAATTTATGGGGTTGGCTTTTATCTTACATGCTTGTTTTTCTGGTAGGTTCTTTTCAAGAATGCAAACTTGACAATTGAGAGAGGAGAGAAAATTGCCATTATTGGTCCTAATGGGTGTGGAAAGAGCACCTTTCTTAAACTGATTATGGATTTACTGAAGCCAACACGAGGTGAAGTTGTGCTTGGGGAGCACAACGTCTTACCAAATTACTTTGAGCAGAATCAGGTGTGTCAAGTCTTTCTAGTTTTCTTTTGATCTTTGGCAGCTGTTTTATCCTGTTTTTACATGTGATAACGTGACCAAGATTGTGTTAATCTCTGTTTGTTTTTCTTTTGATGAAGGCTGAGGCACTCGATTTGGAAAAAACTGTCCTTGAAACTGTAGCAGAAGCTGCCGAGGATTGGAGACTAGATGATATAAAAGGACTCCTTGGACGTTGTAATTTTAAAGCTGACATGCTTGACAGGAAGGTTTCCTTTTTGAGTGGCGGTGAGAAGGTAAGAATATGAACAGATCTTCTCTGCATATTCTTGAGAAAGATAGAGGTTCTCCTTTGTCTGTTTTTGGGGTTTTTCTTGGTTATTTGATCTTTTATCCTTTGACTGTAATAATTGCTTTTTCTACTATTTCTTTCTCAAATTTAAAGCCATGTGATCATTACCCTTTCACAGATTACCATTTTCATCTGTAAATTTGTTCTATAAATTGTTTTAGCTGCAAACATGACTTGGCATCAATACAGGGAATATCTGCTGTTGCTAATTTAGCTGTATGGAAATGTCAAGTATTACCTTTCTTACCGATGAGCTATCTCACGCAAGTTGCTATTGCATGTGATTACCTTATGATTGTACTTTCAAGCTTATTTTGGTTTTGTGAGCTTTAATTTGAAATGTACAATCGTGGTTTAACTGTCTATACTTCCAAGATTACTTTAATTTTTGACCGACAGCCTTGGTGTCGGGGAAGAAAAGCCAGTTATTTCATTTTATTGAGGCTTCCGAATAAGAATCTTAACTGATAATTTATCTAGGCATCTGATAAGAGTGTCTGTTAGTTGTGACCTTTCACCATCTAACAGTTTCCATTTTAACTTTCATTGTCAGCGAAACTTATGTGTACTAAATTGATATATGAATGGTTTGTCTCAATTGTGACACCATTATTTCTTACTAATATTTTCACCCAATTATCCTCTGTTTAAGGCTTACTCTTGGATTATTCTCTTGTTCTTTATTTGAACTTATGCGTCAACCCTTTTTGTTTAGGCACGTCTGTCCTTCTGTAAGTTCATGGTGACCCCTTCAACTTTGCTAGTACTGGATGAGCCAACCAATCATTTGGACATACCAACGAAAGAGATGCTTGAGGTACTTTTTTCTTCTCATCAGTTCTTACCAGTATTTCATATTACCTTATACATATATTCTCGCGGGAAACTTATTTACCCCCAAGTTTCTTTCCAATTTTTCTGTAGGAGGCAATTACGGAGTATCAAGGCACTGTGATAACTGTTTCTCATGATCGGTACTTCATAAAACAAATTGTTAACAGAGTATTGGAAGTAAAAGACGGCACTTTACATGATTATGAAGGAGATTATGATGTAAGTTCTTAAACCTGGCATCTTATGACCATTATTAGCCTTTATCCCCAGTGTTGTGATCTCTATTGAAAACTTTCTAAACATTGATTAATGTTTGGTGAAATAGTCATATATAACAGACGTAAATTGTTTGTTTTCATAATATTGTGTCTCGTTAAGTTGCATATATTGTTTACACATCAAATTTTGAAGTTTCAAACGGAAAGCTTGTCTCTGATTTTAACATATACTTTTCTGGAAATGTCTTCTTGGGGGTCTGATTGTGAAAAAATGATTTTGAGTTGGTTACATTATACGCTTATTACTGAAGTGTGTTTTTGGATTCTTTTTATTAGAATAAATGATATATTTACGTGTTGTACAGTATTATTTGGAGAAAAACCTTGAGGCCAGGGAAAGAGAGCTTGAACGAGAGGCAGAGATCGAGGACAAGTCTCCAAAAGCTAAAGCCAAATCCAAGATGTCAAAGGTAAATTTCCTCTCCTAAATCAGTCAAAACTAGAGCCCGAAATATACATTTTGAGAGCTTTAATGTTTTGCCCGATTGATGAATTGTAAATTATCAATAGCATATTCAGAGACTGATGAATGTGTGTGTATATCATTACTGTGACTGACAGGCGGAAAAGGAAGCTCGGAAGAAACAGAAAATGCAGGCATTCCAAGCAGCAAAACAGAAGTCGAAGAAATCAAAGAACTCCAAGAGATGGAACTGAAATGGTTTTTTTAGATGCTCCCATTTAGCTCCTTTGCTCTCTGTACAAAGCTCTAGTGAGCTACATTATCCATCATCTTATTGTATATAATAACAAATAGATAAATATAGTTGATTATTCTTGTCAAACAGGCAGTCTAATTCATAGTCTCATGATCTATATCCTATTTTTATGGAAAATCAGACCCCAAGTTATTTTTTTTTTGGTAACTAACATTCTATTAATTACCTGAAGCAAAACATTACAATTCAAGCAGCTATCACATCATGTACTTTGTTCTCAAAGTTAACTCATCAAACTACTACTCTAACACTACATACTATTGCTTAGAATTTAAATTCATTAACAACATTTTTAATACTAGCAGGAGCTCTAGCAACAGTCACATAGGCTATCTACACTTTCCTCCTTTTTCACGAAAATTCTGCTATCTCTCTCAATCCACACCCCATAGACACCTTCAGCCAAAATAATCTTGAATATTTGGGTTGCTTTAGACTTCCCCTTCCCATGTCGAATGTTCCATTGTAGAAACTGTACCCATGTCTTTGGTACTATACTATGCTGATGAATCCATGTAAACAATCTTTCCCATAGCTTTCTAGCAAATTGACATTGTATGAGCAAATGCTCTATAGTCTCTTCTGCATTCTTGGATAAGACACAAGTCTTGTCTATTTCCACACCCCATTTAGCTAGCCTGTCAGCTGTTGCTAACTTCTTGTTAAGCATGAGCCACATAGTGAAATAAGCTTTTGGCCTTGCTGCATTCTTGAACATGAATCAGACCTTTGCTGCTCCCCAATCATGTACATATAAATTTGCCTGATCATGCTCCCTTTCTTGCCCCCCCCTCATCAGTTGGATTTGATCAACTATATGTTTGGCACTCATGACTTTTCTTATCAGCTAGCTGGCTTGTTTGGTCTCTGGCCAAGTGCTCTGCCCCTTTATGTGTATCCATTTGATCCAAAGTTTGTCCTCTTTATTTGCTAGGTCCCCAACATAATTTGGCAACTGCTGCTTTGTTCCAGACTTGCATATTAATCAGCCCCATGCCTCCAACAGACTTCGGACAACACACTCTCTCCCAAGCAACTAGTGCCTTTTTAGTAACAGATCCAACCCCTGACCATAAATAGCTTCAATCAGTTTGATTATCTTTGCAGGAATAATGAAAAGTTGTGCCCAGTAAGATTGAACTCCAAACAACACAGTCTTTATTCTACCTGCATATGACGATTTCCTAGCTGTCCACGAGTTGATCCGGGCCATGATTTTGTCAATGAGAGGGTACCATTGGATTACTGTCAATTTCTTAGTAGAAAGAAGGTACTTGAATGGTAGCTTTTCCATTTTGTAGCCAAGTTGTTGTATGATTTGTTGCCTCACCTCTAACTGGACTCCCCCACAATAAATGGAGCTTTTGTTGAGATTTGCTTGCATCCTGAAGCTTGTGAGAACTGTGAAAAGCATCTTTGGAGGGCCTTGATGGAATTGAGATCTCCTCTAGAAAATATTAGCAAGTCATCTGCAAAACATAAGTGAGTGATGCCCAGTTTAGAGCATTTTAGGTGAAACTTGAAAGTTGTCTCTTCCTTGAGTAATCTACTGAGATAGCTATAGCAAAAAGGAAATGAGACATTGGGTCTCCTTCTCTGAGGCCTTTAGCTGCTGCAAAATTCTGAGTAGCCTGTCCATTCATTACTATAGAATAGTTCACTATTCATTACCCACTGTGTAAACATAGCAGGAAATCCCAGACCATACATCACTTGCTCTAAATAATTCCATTCCACTGAGTCATAGGCTTTTTGGAGGTCAATCTTCAGCATGCTTCTTCGAGAAATATTCTTCATAGAATAGGCTCTAACCAATTCTTTTCCTGGGCCTAAAGTTGATATGACAAAAGGGAAAGAGCAAACATATATATGCTCTTTATTTATCCGAAATAGCGAGAGCTCATGAAAATTACAATACCTTGAAATTCTTACTTCCACTCTTTCTTGTTTCTCAAACTCTTGATCTTTCCCCACTCCTAATTGCATCTTCTCCAATTATTCCTAAGAAATGGTGAGAGTAACTAAGAACGAAGAAAAAACTCCAAGGATAATTGGTTTGAGTGTGTCGACTAGTGATATTATCTGCTTTAGATTTAAGTTGACACGATTTTTAAAAAAAGTTGCATGGTATGAAACATGGGGAAAAATGTTTACCCAACATAGCCAACAAGTTGAGTAGTCAATGCCATCTCTTTGTATGAATCATGTTCAATGCTAGTTGTAAGATGGATGGCATGTGAGCTCTAATGGCTAGTATTCTTATCATTCAAATATTTCCCCTAGTTTGTGTGCTAATGTTTATTTCCTAACGTTCTTTCACATTCTATTAAGCAAGAGCAAAAATCAAGGTGGTCTAACTTTTCGATGGATTTTGTGATTTATTGATTTTTTTTTTAAAATAAATTGATGATTGTGGTTTGTTTGGGGGGGGGGGGGTGTCTTTCGAAGTTGTGGTTAAAATCTGAAGCAATTTGAAAAGAAGAAGAAGTTTAAATATAAGGCAATTTTTTTAAAAAAAAAATCATATGTACTAATTTAATTTAAACACAAAACAAAGAAAACAAGAAATTGTTTTTTTTTAAAAATAAAAATAAATTGAAGATAAATAAAATATTTATACACACGACAAGACATGTAGATCACTTCTGATACTTGAACTGGGTCTTGGCAAGAGCATGAAAACATAGAATAAATTAGTTTGGAGGGGTGGGCGTGGAGGTAATAGGATCCTACTTAAATTTAGATATGTTGTTGAGATTTTAATATAGTTCTGGAGAGTACTTGTGTCTTATGCCTCCTAAATAATTTGTTTTTTTTATGTAACTAATGTTTCTTCAAATTATATATTTATATTTGATAAATAAGATATAGTAAATTAAGTAAGTATATTAAAATATGTCCTTTTTTAACTGAAATTTCAAATTTCACTAATTTTATTGTATGCATATCATTTTTAAGTATTTGATAAATTTATTTTTGCAGTTATATTTTTATTCATGCTACTTTCCATATATAATAAGGTTGGAATTTTTTTTTTAATTTTTTTTTTTGTATGTAACTAATGTTTCTTCAAACTATATTTAGATTTGATAATGAAGTAAGTATATTAAAATATTTCCCTTTTTATCTCAAAATTTCAAATTTCACCAATTTTATTGAGATGCATTTCATTTTTAAGTATTTCATAAATTTCTTTTTATATTTATATTTTATTCATGCTACTTTTCATATATAATAAGGTAAGATTTTTTTTATATGTTATTAATGTTTCTTCAAATTATATTTATATTTGATAATTAAGTAAGTATATTAAAATATTTTCCCTTTTAACTCGAATTTTTAAATTCCACTAATTTTATTGAGTGCATATCATTTTTAAGTATTTGCTAAATTTATTTTTATAGTTATATATATTTTTATTCAGGATACTTTCCATATATAATATGGTAAGAAAATTAATTTATTTCTATTGGGGGAAGAATGTATGTGTATAAATATCATGGTAATCCATCTTTTATAAGTACCATTTCGAAATTAGTTCATCGACAAAGCTTAATTTATTCTAGTAATGGAGGGTAAGAAGACTGCTGGATGTCAAAAAATTCCCATGAAAAAAATAGAAAACAAAGCCGCTCGATATGCCACATTTTCAAAACGTCGATTGAGTTTATACAAATTGGCTGGTGAACTTGTTCAACAACACGATGTTGACATAGGAATAGTTCTTTCTTCTCCAACGAATAAACCTTATTCATTTTTCCATCCAACTGTTGAAGCATTTGCTCAACGTTTTTTGAATCCAAACATAGAATTAAGAGACACTACAAATTTGTTGAGACATGTGTTCGAAACAACGTGAATGAAATCGAAGATAAACTAGCAGAGTTTAAAATTAGAGAAGATGTTGCAAGCAAGGAAACTATTATACTTGACCAAGCCAAAGAGATGAGATAAATTGATTGGTGGGAGGATATTGAAAAACTCAAAACTGATGAGTTAACTCAGTTTGAAGTTTGGCTAAACGTTGCTGATTTTAACATGAAATATCGTCTCAAAACAATTGGAAAATGAAGTTGCATCTAATACTTCATAGATTCCTTTCTACATTAATTTTTGAAATTTTATTATCCGTTCTGCTTTTGTTTTTTTATAATTTTATATTGATATGCTAGTTATTACATGTACTCTACAATGATATTTATTATGAAATATTATTTCCATTAATATTAATATATTTTTTCTCATATATGTTTGATATCTTATTTTCTTATGTTTTGTTTTACAAGTACTTTCTTAATTTATTGTGTTTTTGCATTTTTTTGTGATATAAAAATAAGAAATGTTATAGGTTTAATTCTTACCGTCACTCACAAATACTTTTTTTTTCCGTGTATACTTAAAATATGTAAATATAAAAGTTAAATTAAACATTAGACTTTTCAAGAATATATGGTCAAAAATGTAAGAGAAAAAAATTATATTGTTATTAATGGAAGTAATATTATTTCATAATAAATATTATTGTAGAGTACATGTAGTTGCATCTTCAATATAAAAAAAAAAAAAAAAAAGTTGAACCGATAATAAAATTTCAAAAATTAATGTAGAGATAAATCTATTTATGAAGCATTAGATGCAAATTCATTTTTCAATTATTCCCGAAGATATTTCATGTTAAAATTAGCAATATTTAATCAAGCTTCAAATTTAATTAACTTATCAGTTTTGAGTTTTTCAGTATCCTCCTACCTACCAATTTTTCTCATCTCTTTCACTTGGTCAAGTATAACTGTTTGCTTGCTTGCAACATCTTCTCTAATTTTAAACTCTACATATTTATATTCGATTTCATTCACCTTGTTTCAAATATGTGTCGCAACAAGTTGTGTAGTGTCACTTAATTCTATATTTGAATTCAAAAAACACTGAGCAACTGCTTCAAGAGTTGGATGGAAAAATGGATAAAGCTTATTCGTTGGAGAAGAAACTATTTCTATGTCAACATCGTGTTGTTTAACGAATTCACCAACCAATTCATATAAAATTAATCGGCGTTTTGAAAAGGAGGCATATCGAGTGGATTCATTTTTTTATCTTTGTCATGAAATTTTTTTGACGTCTGACAATATTCTTACCCTTCATTAGTAGAATAAAATAAACTTTGTTGATAAACTAATTTCATGAAATGATACTTATAAGAGATAAAATACCATGATATGTATACACATATATTCTTCCCCCAATATAAATTAATTAAATCTCTTATCTTATTCTTCCTTTCTTGATAGTGCATCTGGTACTCTGTTCTCAACTTCTTTCTTATATTGAACCTCATAATCAAGGCCTAGTAACTTAGTGAGCGCTTTCTGCTATAAATTCTGAAGTAACCTTTTGTTCTATCAAATATTTCAAGTTATGATAGTTCGAACCACAACATACTTGAACTGAAGGTAGTGCCTCCGCTTACCCTTAACATTTAGCAAGGCCATGTATTCCTTTTCATAGATAGATTTTCCCCTATGCTTAGGTGCTAGTACTTTACTGAAATAAGTTATCAGTGTTCTTTCTTGCATAAGGACAACACAAATGTCACTATGACTAATACTGGTGTTGAGGACATAGCATATTTGAGAGCTGTAAATGCCAAATCAGCCTCATCATTCCATTTGAAAGCATCCCTTTTAGTAGATTAGTGATAGAGTAACATAACCAACTACA